CTGCTTGGGCTATGGGCATGGGTGTCAACTTACTCTCAGCAAATACTCACAATGTCAGCCAGGCAATGACAGGTGAGCTGCATTTGGGAAAATGGAAATTATCTTCAGAGTACTGGATTCAGAAGGAGGCAGAAATGTTTTAAAAACTGTGAAGTCTCTGGAGAATGGTGTTTCAGTTAGACTAAAAATCTTCATGATGTTGTATTGAATGTAGTAAACAGCTTTGGAGAGGAAAATCTGGAATGTTCTGGGAAAGGCAAAATTAGAAAGTCAGTGACATGAAATTTTTATAATTTAAAAGTGAAATTTTATTTCAAAAATAGCACAAAGTTTCACAATTAAATTTTCAGCCTCTCACTTAAAAGCAGCATTTTTCTTTAAAATTCAATCAACAGTTATATGATGAAAAAATATTTTAAATAGAACTTAATAACCTAAAACCAAAAGGAGAATTTTTCTTGTATATTGAATTAAATATTTTCAGGTTTTTGTGACTGCTGAAGAATTAGAGATGTTTATATTTTGGGTTGATCTGAATACATTTTTACTCCATTTTTTTTTCCCTGTAAACTGAAAAAACATTGGTTTAGCTACATCTGTAAATGTCCCCTGAAGCCAAAGTGAATGCCAAAAGGGAATATATTGGTCTGCCCTAAACAGACTGAACTGACTTTAGGATACAGCCCTAGATTCCATTCCATGAGATGTAATTGCCTCTGTAGTTTCCTCTTTTTTTTTGGCAAATATGCCACTGTTAGACCTCTGATTTATATTTAAATTAATCTAAGTTCTTACCAAAAAAAAAAAAAAAGGGGATGGTCCTGTGTCAAACTGCCATTTAAATCTCAGATTCAAGATCCAGCTAAGCAAAAAACCTGTGAATTTTAGGTCATGATTTTACACCATGAGAGGTATTTTAGCGATTCTGCACTTTAAAATTCCAAAATTCTCTGTCACATGTTGACTGAAAGCAGCATCACTAAAACACCTGCTGGTGTGACACAGGGTGCAGCTGGCCCCGCTGCCGAGCCGCGTTCCGTGGTGTTGGCTGACGAAGGTCTGGTGCGTGTCCTCGGCAGGCAGCGGGCTCTTCACGCCGCAGGGACCCACCACCTACCATTACGACAGTGAGACTGAGGAGGGACGTCTCCTGCTGGCAGAGCTGAGCGCACATCCCCGGCTTTCCCCCACCTTCCCCCCTGCTATCAATTGGAGCTCATATGCTACAAGCATCAAGAAATTTCCAGGAGAGAAAGATGCCTTTTTGGGAGCTGTCCGGCGGGATATATTCACTTTCAGTGAACTCAGGCAGAAATCTGGGAATTACACGGTTTGCCAAGGAGACCTCTGCTGTCATTTGATGTATCAGATGTCAAACAAGAGCAAAGAAGAAGTTTATGTCCTGGGTGCATTTGATGGGCTTCATGGTTCTGTCATAAAATACTATTGGCAGGTAATTGGGTTTGAGTGTGGGTTGTATATACCTACATCCCAACCACCCCAAAACACTTGTCCATTGCTGCATTGTGAGAACTTTTCTTGCTGTCAGATGCAGCTCCTAGTTGTTGAAAGCTTAATGTTATTTTGCCTTTCTGTCTCCTCCTCCCCACAGATATGCACGCTACTCAAGTGCAAGAGCACAGACCCAAACACGTGCGGGCAGCCCGTGGAGATGGCTCAGACCAGGTTTGAGATGTTCTCCCTCAGTGGCACGTTTGGCACTAACTACGTCTTTCCAGAAGTCTTGTACAGCGGGGTGCAGCTGGCCCCCGGGGAGTTTGAGGTAATGGGACACCCTGGAGCTGTTCCACACAAGATTTCCCAGGCTATGGTGCTGGAAACCAGTATGGCAACTAAGTCCCCTTTGGCTCCGTAGACCATAACTCAAGGGGACATTTAAATGGATGGATTGGATTAATCCTCATTGATGAGAACATATAAATGCTAAGGCTGATAATTTCCTAAGTATTTTCTTTGGCAAATTTGCCTTCCCATTTCAACACCCAAATATATAAATAGCAACACTCAAGGACCTATTTTCTACAAGTTTATGCTGACAGACATTTTATGAGACAAAAAAAATCAAATACTCTAAGAAATTGTGCAGGTAAGAAAAGTTACAAATGAGTGCCATGCATAAGAACAGACATCCTGTGCGGGTAAAAACATTAGAGATTTTTAAGGGTTTCGCAGGGTTTATTTTTTTTATCTGAAATTTCATCATATATTTTTGCCAAAACATGTTTTCATTCATAAACCTTAGATTAAATTTATGTAAGAGGCTAAATGAAATCTTAAATGATCTGGAAGAGATACTTAACAGCTTACAATGAAGATGGTGAAAAAGACTTTAAAAGTTTTAGGGGAAGCAGGGGTGACTTTTTTACAACATAGAGAGTGGAAAAGCATTGCATTTGGTTTGAATGCTACTTCTGTAAAACCATACTCCTCAAAGGATTTAATGGTATGCTAAAATATGATTATGGTCTAATTTAAAAAAATATTTATGTTTCCTTAATAATAGCATGCTTATTGTTTGTCACAGAGGTACTTAAAAGTTGCAGGTGTTCACAGTTTATGAACAACAATGATTTCATATTGATCTTTAAAAAGTAACTATTAAAAGCAATGTATGGCTACTAGCTTGAAATTCTCTACTGCCATCTGGAAACTGTTTTGGGGTCTACAGATAAAAAAAGATTTCAAATTACTGCCCTAGGTATGTGTATTATCATCATGTAAGCTGACAAATCAGTTATTCTCACTTCTTATGAGGTGAAGAAAATGATCTTTTTTTCCAGAGATGAACCAGGAAGAAGTTTTAAACTTTCAGGTTCCCTCATTCTTATGATTGTCTTTTAAAAGTGCTGCATGAAAATATTCAGCATCTAAGGTGTATCCGTTCTGTACAACACTATATTGCTACTCTGTTAGTGGACTATTACTGTCATTCTTTCTCTTTCCAACTAGGTAGTACATGACGGTCGTTTGAGAAGTAAGCATGGCACATCGAAACCACTCATTACAGCAACACTTTTTGGAAGGCTTTATGAAAAGGACCTGCCACATCCTCTGCGAACCTCCCCCTGACGTAACTCCTTCAGTGTTACACAGTCACCATAGGCAGGAGGTGATTTTCCTACAGTGATCCGCCACCTCATGAGTCATGGCAGTTATCCTGTATCATTCCTGTTCCGCAATCTTGTGCTGTTCCTCAGCAGCCACGGCAGTTGAGTTTATTTAGGAGAAAGCAGTATGATCACTCACTTGTGTACACCTTTTTAATAGCACTTGAGCCAGTAAAATTAATTTTTAGTACAAATGCTCTGTCACGTGAAATCTTTAACTAGAAATTACTTTTTTTCTCCCTGAAGATACTATGTGTATTGCCAGGATGACACTAGAAAGAAGACTGATACTGAAATGTGTGAAATGTGAAGTTTGCCAGTTTGCTGCAGAACAAATCTTCTCCAAGGAAGCACTTCTGTCCCTTTTACCCCTTCCTGTTTTTCAGACTATATGATCTGTTATGATCCCTTTCCCTTCCACCCCACCAGAGCCTAGGACTGTGCTGCCTCAGGGAGCAGAACTAGGTATCAGAGGTACCTCCTCTGGGCTAGAGGGGGAATAAGCAGGATTCAGGGGCAGCCAAGGTGATTCTGTTTTCAGATTACAAAGTATTTTAGGATCTCTATCAGCACTGGAGTTTGCAGGTCAAGGTAACTCTTGCCTGTGTCAGAGTGTTTTGTTGGGCTCTCTCAGGGACAGCAGGTGAGGGAGCAGCACTGAGCGTGGGTGGGGAAGCACCACCGTGGGGATCACCCCCCAGGCAAAGCTCCTGGCTGCTTCCACCATTTCTGTCTGACTGTGCTAGCTCCAGTGCCAGAGTGGGTGGATTTGATAGCACGTTCTGCTCTCTTGTCGCTATTCAGGCTGTAATAATTGAACATAAAAATCTCTAACATACTGCTTGCTGGCACTGCTGAGGCGTGGAATACTTGCCAGATACATGCAGATCTGACTGTCTTAGGTTGTCAGAGCTGGACAGGAGTAGAATATAATTCAGAGTAACAGAATGATTTGAGTTGCTTCCAATCTTAAAGATCATCTAACACCCCTGCCAACCTTCTACTAGACCAGGTTGCTCAAAGCCTCATCCAGCCTGGCCTTGAACACTTCCAGGGATGAGGCACTCACATCTTTTCTGAGCAACCTGTTCCAGTGCCTCATCATCCTCATAGTAAAGAATTTCCTCCTAATGTCTAATCTAAATCTACCCTGCTCCAGATTAAAACTATTGCCCCTCATCCTATCACTACACACCCTTGTAAGCAGTCCCTTCCCAGCTTTCCTGTAGCCCACTTCAGGTACTGGAAGGCTACTATAAGGTCTCCCTAGAGCCTTCTCCAGGCTGAACAGCCCCAACTCTCTCAGCTTGTCTTCATAGGAGAGGTGTTCCAACTTTGTGGCCCTCCTCTGGATCCACTCCAACAAGTCCACATCCTTTTTGTGCTGGGGTCTCCGGAGCTGGATGTAGTACTCCAGGTGGGGTCTCACAAGAGCAGAGTAGATGGCCAGAGTCAATATTGCTAGTTAAATAGCTTCTAGGATCATAGAATCATAAAATCATTTAGGTTGGATGGGATCATCTAGTTCCAACCCTCCTGCCGTGACAGAGACATCTCCCGCTAGATCAGGTTGCTCAAGGCTCCATCCAGCCTGGCCTTGAACACTTCCAGGAATGGAGCAACCACAATGTCACTGGGATCCTGTTCCAGTGCTTCACCACCCTCAGGGTAAAGAACTTCTTCTTTATACCTAGTCTAAGCCTACGCTCAAAAAAACGCTCTTCCAGCTTCCAAGAAATGACTCTCGAACCTCATCCAGTATGGATGCAGAAGTCCAGAATTCTTTGAAAATGACACTAAACCCAAATCTGAAGAATGTTTGTCCTGTAGTTTTCAAGATTTGCTACAAAACTTTCATCTCTCTGAGAGGATAATGAGAGTGCCACACAATGGACCACTGAGGGATTTATTAATCTCTTTACAATAAATCACTGAGGGGCTTATTAATCTCTTTCTCATTTCTGATAATAAAGAAATAATTTAACCAAACAGAGGATAAAGTTACATGGACTGTTGCCTCAGTCTCAGAATAGCTCTATCATTTTAATGCACAAGAACCACGAAGCCTGGAAGAAATGCAAAAACCAACCAGATCTTCAGCTAAGGATCTTGGTGGTCACACTGACTAGATGAAGTTCAGATTTAGGAAATGTCAGGTTTTGTAGTAAAAGTCGATTTCAGATGATGCAACTTACAGAAATATTCAGAATACAAAAGCATAGAGATAATGAATGACCAATGCAACAAGTCATGTTCCTCTAGAACAGTTTCTGTTGAATTTGTGGAAAGTTAAACAGCAATGCACTTACTTTCCTACCTGCTAGGTGTGAGCTAGTAAAGAGAAAATGTTAAATCATCTTTAGGAGAAAACAAAAAAAACCCAAGGCCTCTCCTATGGCTTGTTATGGGACAGAATTTGAGTTTCTTGAAAAAAAATAGGAGTGTTACTGACTCTGGGACAGGTATGCCAGAGGAGAAGAATCAAATTAATTTATAGGTAATTCACGTCAATGACTCCACCTAAAAAGCTGCTCCAGATGGTATCCTAATGAGCCCCATCCTTTTCTAAGCTGGAAAAGCCGGCTCTTCACATGTCAATATTTCTTCCTTATACCTTGATGCTGGCCAAAGCAAATAAGACCCATTTGTCCATGTTGTTTCTGACAACACAGAGAGAAAAACAAGTCCTTAATAGATTTTTTCAATGCAAGGCTTCAGATGAAGACAGAAAAATACTGCGTTAAAACAAATGTGATCCAAACCTTATGGCTGGTTTAAGTAAGACTGATAACAACTTTAGACAAACTCTAACTCTGAATAAAATCTAATGTACTGTATTGTACATATTGAATTAAAGCAAGCAGACTTTAAGCAAAAACAGTGACAGAATCTTAATATGGTTTTGTTCAAATATAATAATGATAAGCATTTATAATGCTTTAGTATCAACTCCATTAAGACAAACAGAGAGTACAGTGAATTTTAGGCCTATGTTATTGCTAAGTTACAGACTCTTTAGGCCACACTCCTCCATGGTTGTTAGATACCTTTCTAAATTTTCCATGTAGCATTTATTATTGTGATGCTGCTATCTTACACCTAAAGTTTTCTCTTTTGTTTTTTCATTTTGCCTGTACTAAAAGACACAAATCATGATGTAATGCTATTTTAACTGAAGTCAAATAAAGTCAAATGGGGGCAGTGAGTTTACTATACTACACTGGTACTAAACTGGTACATTGTTTTACATCTGCTGATTGTGCATCTGCAGAGACAGGGATATTCTGCATTTAGTTGTGAATTCAAAGAGTTGTATTCTGTGTTTTTTCAGTGTGCCCTGCATGGAGGCTTTCACACTCCTTGACTGGGTTTGGTTTGAGCTGGAGATCACCAGCTCTGCCCAGGAGATTTCATAGAGGTGATGATCCATATAGCTCGCACCCCAGCAGAACTTAGGTGCACTGGCCCTGTAAAATCCACAGTATCTTGGTTTGTCACCCAGGTGACAAGCTGTACAAAACCTGATCAAAAATATATAAACTTCTGTTTTCTTCTGATCCTCTACTTGCTTAGTAATTGTCTTCTCCAGCTTTCTAAGGCGTGTTCATATGCTGTGTTGGTTGTAATAGCTAACAACATCAAACTGTGAAAACGTAATTCGTTCATAGAAAGGTGTTATTCAAAAGAACAATTATGCTTGCCTAAGTAGAAGTCAAATATATCTGACCCTGAGACAGAAAAGAGAAGAGCAAGCTGTAAATACATGGCGATTAATGGGCAGTGATGTACTTCCTGGTAGCTAGATTGAAAGACAGAAAGCTCTTGGCAAGTGTGGGTAAAAATACATGTATGGTGCCTTTCATAACAGATGTCAGTTAGCTATACCTCAAGAGTATCAGATAGCTCTATGTATAAGGACCAGAGCCATAAAAAACCCTACAACTTAAGTTCGATCGATCATTACCCAGCAACAGGCTTAAACATTTATTTTGTTGAAGTCTTTCTGAACCTATCTTTAATGCTACACTAGGCATTTCAGATTGTTTATTAATGTTGACATTAGCCTCTATTTGCAGGGATTGTTCCAAGTTCAGCATTAAGACTGAACAAAAAGAATTTTGGCGTTGTGCAATATTTAATGTAATCACTCTTGCCGATTTGCCAAGGGAATCTTACAGTGCCAGCTGTTTTCTGCTGAGTCTTCCTACAGATCATCGCTCTTCTTTCACCAAGGGTGTGACTCATACCCCTCCTTGATTTGCCAAGGCTCATCATTACATAGTATATTGATGTCTTACAAACATTTGAGACCGTGGCACTTCCATGAAGCTAGGAGTAGATTTTACCCTATAATATAGATGAGGAGATGAAGTGCAATGAAACTGATGTTTACAGCAGACACTAATTTAAGCAGTTAACTTGAGACGCCAGAATAATTCATATTACAAAAACACTGTATATGGTCAAAACATAGTTGTCACTGGCTTCAACTGCAAGTGCTGGCTACTTGTAAAAATCAAATCCTGACATGCACCCAGAAAATGAGGAGCACATGTTCAGTGGAAGCTTCAAAACCTATGGTAAAAACGACCCACCTAATATTGTGTGGTCAGATGCATGAAAAGGAGAGAAAAGAGGAAAGGGACCTGTACAAGGGTCTGTTCAAGGCATTATTCCGTGTAGGCAGCTGGGCTGGGAAGGCTTGCAAGGCACAGAAGGAAGAAACAGTAACAATTGCAGAAAAAAAACAAAATAGACTGCAGTGGGGAGTGGGCAACGGTGGGGAACAGATGAGGAGGAGAAGAGAGAGTTGCTTTCTCTTCACCGACCTTCACCTGCACAAACAAAAACTTACGCAAGCTGGTAGAGGCACATTTAAACAGCTAAACCTGCTGTTCCTGCCACCTGTTCCCTCTCAGTGTCACACGTATTGGTCAGGACATGGGCAGCAAGCAGGAACTT